ACAATTTAACAATAAACTTGCGATGAGTGCGATGCACAAAGTAACGGGGTGTTAGTTGTAATACACGTGGTTTGAATATTTATTTTACCATAGTAACATTTAAATTTTGGCTTAAGTAAATGTTTTATCTCAGTTTTTATTATTCATTTAAAATGAGACAAATCTGCTATTATTTTAATCTCCAATCTGTTATTTATCAGTTCAGATAATTTTTTAATGCTTTGATTACTATCAGAAGACACTAACCAGTTTTAAATTCCAGTTGCTATATATATATATATATAATTTTAGTTTGTCAATATAAAAAGTTTTATATTTTTTTCATTGGATCAGATAAGATTTTAAGCTGTCATATGGTCAAGTTACAACGTGCCCCTCAGATGTTGTCACATTTCACTTCCATTTTTTGAGGGTAAATAAAGAAAAACGTATACACTGTAATTATGAAACAAAGCGACATATTTGTACTAGACAAGTGTAAAATTACCGTGGATAAAAAAATATATATTCTGAACCCCATGTGGATTTACACAAACTGAGAAAGTCAAAAAGTGTTACTTTGTGCCCTCCTCTCCCCTACCTCTGTAAATAAATACAATATAAATTCACGTCTCGCGCACTTTAATGCCCTTTGAATGTAACGTGTACGTTCCCTTGGAACTGGAATCATGGTGGAATTTCATGTGAAGTCCACTTTGCAGGGCACTTACGGTCGAATAAGACAACGCGTGAATGCTGCTGCCTGAACAAGAAACCTCCTTACTGAAGTGAAAGTGTTGACTGGTATCACTATCTCGCGAACGCGCCGGCGGATCTCCACCAAATTCGGGGGATCCCTTCAGCTCGAGGAGCCCTCTCGAACGCCACCCTCCGCGCGTCGCTAGCCCCCCGGGATCGCTTGATCGGTCGGCGCCGGACCGTGAATTTAACCACCCGTAACTCCCGAACCCCGGGGGCTATCCACGTGAGGGTGGTCTCAATCGAAAGAGGGCCTCGAGACGTACACTCGATTAGTGTTGGAGAGGGTTTCTTGAGCTGAAGGGATCCCCCGAATTTGGTGCGGATTCGCCGTGCCGTTACGGAGATATGGCCGTTCAACGTTTCAGTGGTTTTCCATTGACTTAAGCGTTAAAGCGTTTCAACCAGGTCGCCAATAGCAAACAATGGAGCGCGCTCTGCTGAACAAACCAAGTAATTACACAATTTCAAGCATTTTATCTGCGTTATATGTTCTGTAAAAAAAAAATGTCATATCGGCGGCATATTCGCTGATACCGATATATCGGCGACAGGCTGATATCGGCCGATAATATCGGCAAAACGATATATCGGTCGGGCTCTAGTTTTTACTATGTAAAAGCTGACACCCTAGTCTGGTCAATCTGGTGTTTAGTTGGGCAGACAGCTAGTTTCCCAACATGACCACATAAAAAATGTGACTAGACTAGCCTGACTAGGTTAGGAGACAAACTAAGACCAGCAAACCTGCATAGGCTGTTTTTTTTTTAAAGAATACAAACTGTATTTTACAGGACAAAACAGCATTTGCCTTTTTAACAGCGAATATTGTATATTATGATATATCTCACTCTGGTGTGCTGCTCTGACTATTCATGTTTCATGAGTTAGCGTAAAATCATAGCTGAGGAAAAACTCAATACAGCTATCCCATTATGAAATAATTTTTCTAAACAAACGGCATCTATGAGGGGCCATGCACATGCTCGTGGCAGTAAAACTGGAAATAAATGTGTATAATAGATGAGATGCTCTGTTTCTGTGCAGCAGGTGTATTTGCCAAACACAAGTGGTGAGCAACGCGGTTGGAGAAGCTATTAAACGGGATGTTCAGAACAAGTGCAGCCAAGTCATAGTAAATTAAACACTTTAAAGTCAGATAAAAAATACAGTTAAATTAGCCAAAGTGTTTTGTCATTTTAAAATACTGTCTCAAATCCCAGTTTAATGAGACAGCTAAGCAAGCCATTTGTTAGGGGATTTCTCATTTGTGGCACTATTAAAACCTGCTGACAATGTCAGGACGAGAGAGATCAGGCATTAGAAGTGCTTTGGAAACCTGTTTGGAAACAATCATTATTGTAATTCTAATGGTGCCACCAGTGTTATTTTAGTATTATTTATATACTATCATAGTTTTTATTAATATTTTGAAATATATTTTATTTTTAGATTTTTACAGTTTACAGTTTTCATTGTATTTCTTAGTTTTTTATATATCTATATATATATACTTTAAAAAAAATTATTTATTTATTTATTTTTCAATTCATTTATTGTGTGTTTTAGTTTTGGACATTTTAGTACTCCAACTTAAAACATATTTCAGTTAGTTGTCAAAGCTAATTTTCTTTCTTTTTAAAAAAATTTTTTTTTCCATCTAACATTTGTTTTATTTCAGTTTTAACATAGTTTTAGTTCAACAACAACAACATTGGGTGCCACTAGAGCAGGGGTGGGCAAACTTTTTGACTCGAAGGCCACATCAAGTTTTTGAATACAAGTCGCATAGTACAGTATAAGTATGACAAATGAAGCTTTGATGTATATTTATTTATTTATCCTAAATGTACACTTACTGTTACTGTACTGTACTTTATGTGTACTTGTACATGGAAATATACTTAGCTCGCTTTCTTTCTCCCACTCTCTTTCACACACATCTTTCTTTCTTTCTCCCACTCTCTCCTACAAATGCACACACATACAGTACAGATACATGGTCGCAAGCACACGTGCAACAAACACACATACAGAAACTTGTCAGCGCTGACCCGGAACTTTATCAGTAAAATAGTTTTGCAAATGAAAAGCTATAACATTTCTCAATAACGCTGCTGTTTTTGAAGAAGTTAAACTTACGGATTTGCTATTGGTAGAGATGCTGCTGCCGAATAATGTTGAGAGACGAACATGCAGTACTCTGGTAATTCACACACGTTTAATCCATCTCTCTCTTTCTCTCTCAATAGCTGCATTTTTCTGCATAAACGCTGAAGCCTCTGTTACTAGCATTAAAATAAAATGACATTTTGTAATCAGCAAAGGGATTCTACGATAGAGAGCACTGGAACAAGTACCAAGGATAAATTTGTTTTTGCTTTTTTGGGGTGATAATATTATATATTATGTATTATATATTAATGGGCAAGGGTCCCAAATATTTATTTAGCCTATAAGAGGTAGATCCAACCCTGACCATATTACTGAGTGCATTCTAATTCTGACTGAATATACAGTATACGTAACAGTTACAGCACTGCAGGCTACCACGGCATCTATTGAATTTTGCTGATATTGCATCAAAATAACTCCCCTTCCTCCAACATCTACAGTAAATAACCAAGCAGCTATAAATGCAATGAAAAACAAACTCAAAAACAAGTTGGCTAGTGAAAGTTAGCGTGAATGCGGTCAGCAATGTGAGCAGCTGATTAACCATTTTTCCAGTGCCAACGTTTGTTTATTGGTCCTGCTGACGAAGCCCCGCAGATAATAGCCCCATGTGATATGAAAGCTTGGTCGGGTAATTATCTGCAGCAGAGGAGGCGATGACGACGCTGGTCGGTTGAAGGATATGAAATATCTTTCAGGATCTAATTACTGGGTAGCCAGAGGTGTAATTTCCGTCTTTCACTTGGCGCCTTCAGATATGGGAAGAGAATGCGTTCACTTCAGGTAAGTGCTATCATGCTCTCTGATCTTATTCAGATTCAGAGCCCAGCCGTGGAAAGGAAGGGCAGGAAGGATAGGAACCATGTGCAAGAGGTCTGAATGTACAGATAAAGACAGACTATCATAGTGGAGACCGGAAGAATAATAAACGTATGGCCTTTCTTTAATACCAAGCGACCTCGTCGCATTTATGTTGGAGTTTTATTGCTTTTGTCGCTTTCAGCGGCTTGACCAAGCTTCTCTTCGCACAATTGCATGCGCTTAGCATAATGTGGCATTTATAAAGGTTTGTTTCTGAATTACTGTGGGCGGTACTTTCAACCTCCTGACTCATGTTTTGCACAAAGAATGGCAAAGGCAACTATAAAAACTTGAAAGCTAATATTAAAGTCAAGACGAGTCCCTGGCCAGAGCATGCGTGGATGTGCTGATACATTAGAGAAGTTTTACAGGAAATCAATAACCAAGCCTGTTTCTGTTTACTTCAGCCATTCCGATAAAAACGAAAGGTTTTAAAGAATGAATCAAAGTGGAACTAGGCAAAGACTGACAGTAAATCTGTTGAAGAGAGGATAAAAACCTACATAGAACATCTAATTATTCAATGTATTATACAGAGAAATAAACAAGGTCTTTGACTCGCTTTGTGGCATTTGTAAGATGGCACGTCAAGGTAAAAATAGTACTTTCAAATATTTTTCAAGACCCTGTTCCATTCAGTTGCATTCCATAAAGCAATTTAAAAAGAATGCTTATAACTGCATGTGAAAGCTTTCAAGCTTCAAAAAGGACGCAGAAGCACCATAAAAGCATCATAGAAGTGGTCCATACAATGAACTGGGTGAGGAACAAATTGAATTTAAGTAGCTATTCATTGGAAAGAAAAGTTGTTTTGAGTCAGATTTGAATGAACTGTTGATCCAGTTTACAAAACCGAATGATTCACTCTCAAATTGATTCATTTCTCGAGATGACTCAGTGATCCAGTTGCAGAAATTAACTCCTCACTGGAGGTGAAGATCGGTGAATAATGAGATAAATCAAGTCGAACTCTTCCTCACAAAGCTGTCAAATGCAGCGTACGAGTCGAATGGACCACTTTTTATGGTGGTTTTACATTCAGTTTCAAGCCACAGAAGTCAGTCAGTCATACATATTTGGAATGACATGGGGGTGGGTAAATAAATAAAAATTTTGGGGTGAACTATCCCTTTAAGAATGAGGCCTCTTTTTGAATTGTGTTCTTAAAATAGATGATCGATCCTTATTAGATATCAGAATATTCAATATGACTGCATCAAACGTACTTGAGCTCTTGTAGTCTTTCTTCTTCAGTTTGCGTCTCATCATGGTGCCGCGGGGACTTGTGGGATACATGGTGCGTGGCAGCGTGTTCATGTTGAGTGAGCTCAGACTGTAGGCACTCATGGAGGTGGGAGAGAAGGATGAACCCAGAGCTGTGGGCGAAAGAGAGAGATGTTTTAGCAAAATTATCAATGACTCATTTCAAAACCTCATATACTTAGTATATAAAGTTCAGTTTTGCTTGGTAAAATGCTTCTATTATACATTTTTTACTCATTTAAAACAATTGAAAAAGTGAAAATCCAACATAAACTTCATGATGCCATAGTATTCAGTGTGTCACTCTTGCTTTAATGACAGCAGCACTGGAGCAGCGTGATCATGATCAACATCTGACAACCTGTACAAAGTTGCATGATTAATCTCACACATTTACCTAGATTAGTGACCTAGAACCTATTCATTTTGTTTTCAACATGTTCAAATCCCATTTTGAATCCCATATTTTCAACTGAACTTTCGAACCCCACCACTGTATCTTAACGTTTTCTAACAACAGGTGCAAGCGGTTTGTCAGCAGTCGAGGAAATGCACAAAATAACTAATTAAAGCGCTACAGACTGCTCCCTCATCTTTGACACTGTGTGAACGGTGGTAAGTCTTCATCAAAGCACTTCTCTGAAAATACTCCCCGATGCCTAAAAGCCACTTCTATCACAAAATAACGGCTAAGAACCAAATCACAGTTCGTACTGATCAGATGAAGAGCTTCAAAGCCATTTTTTAGCTCTTATAAAAAAAATATAAAATAAATCCCAACTGGCAGAATATTACTACTCCAAAAAAATATGTTTTATTTGGCTGGGACATTGGTGATGCTGAAAACATGGCAGGATTAGAGCAGATTAGTCTTTTTTTATTTGCTGTTTGAAACCGTTTGTCTGCCCTTGGCACATGAGGACATTCTGCTTTTCTCTCTCTTTTTAAAAGCCATTAAATCACAGCTTTAAGAGCCATAATGAGGCCTTCTGGTCCACTTGTGTATTGTATAGGATGAGCTTTCCTAATCCAAACATTAAGGAGTTAATGTCCAGCTAATAAAGGCTAATTTGTCTTGAGGAAAAAAGAAAACAGAGGCTTAAGTAATACAACTCTCAGGGGAGTTTTGCTCTTTCACGCGCATCAAGGACACATATTTCAGAGTTAAACTCTCATAACCAAGGGGGTTATATAATCCAGGGGAAAAAAAGAGACTGTGACTAAAAAGTATTGATGGAATGGCAGTAAATTATGTGAAGCCACCAGCACTGAAGTGCCCGTGGCATCTTTACGACCCTCCTGAATGGAGAATCTGAGACACGACTGTGAAGGTGAGAAAAGGTGCCGCAAGCCATTTTAGCCTTGTTGCTAACTTCAAAATTCAATCATATGTGTGATATACGTGAAAACCAGTTGAATCGCTGGAGGTTTAAAGGTTTCTGTACCATTGGTTGCTGCAGTTTTTAAACTTGAGTCAGCAAGATGTTTAGGGGTCTGCAAAAATGAATTTTTTAGGGTTGTCAAAATTAATATTTAAGTTTTAATATTCATATTTAAGTTTAAAATGAGCTAAATTATCCATATATATTTTTTTTCCTTCTTTTTTTACACTAACAATTATGTGTTTTATAATGTTTTAATATATATTTTTAAATATCCATCGAAAATATTCATAAAATAATAACTAGGCCGCCCTAGTCTTAACAGAAATAAATAAATAAAAACAAAGTATAATAATAACTAAAAATAAAATTTAATAAAAAATAAAACAGAAAATATAAAAAACGAAAAATATAAAAAAAACTATTTTGTATTTAAAAGTTTATACAGCTACAGTACCATGTCTCGAAAACAACATGTATCTATAGCATGAATATAATATGACTTTTCTTCACATAGTATAAATGGGTCTTTATAAATTAAATTAAATAGCTATTATATTTTAAAAAGGGAGTTATTCACAAGATTATACTGCTACTTTGGGGTTCTTGGCATCAAATTTTCCTTAGGTTCCATTGTGTCACTGCTCACATAAAGCTAAACTACACTAAACTTGGTCGCATCATAAATGGTCGGTCACCTCTAAGCGCTAGCTCTCACTAAAAATGAACAACTTCCAGTTGCTTTAATGCTACAAACCATTGTCAGTGTTAACAAACAAGTACAGGTCATCTCTAACAGTCTCACAGTGCCCTTGAAACACACAGAGCGCTAAACAAAAGAGATCAATAAAGCCCTGATGGCCGGAATTTATAATAATGAGTCCATATAATCAAATCAGACTCTGTAAGGCCGTGCATGAAAGAGGAAAAGCATGACCTAAAACATAAATGAGAAGTGAGTGACAATCTTATCAGCCAATTAGAGAGTGAATCTAGGGCCTCAGGATGTCAATTATCATTGACTACATGTCCCAAAATGTACTTGAGATTTTGAAGTCCACCCATGACCGCACAGGGAGAAACGATCAGGTCACGTTGCGAGAATGTCAATAGTGCAATATTGCTTCCTTAACCAGGATTATGTTCCATATCCCCCAAAGAATGGCACCACAAAGGTGTCCTCTGGATTCACTGTGTATCTTCTGCACAACAAAAACCACTGAATGGCTCAGCGCGTCTGGCTTCGTACAGTGACTCTGAGCTTTTCCGTTCCTCTGGTAGAATAGAGCTCAGCTACACCCACAGATGGAGAATAAAGACCAGATATAATACGGAGGAAGAGAGCAGCAGAGAGAGAAAAACAGTATTTAGCCTTAGCGTAGTTTAGAGACAAGGAAACAGCTGGGGAACAAATTAGTTCTGCTCTGTTTTCCAAAGAGATCAAATAAAACACACTAAAAAAGACAAAAACAAAAACAGACTTATCAAATAAAGCACAAAAGGAGACATTCCAATGAATGCAGTCCTATATTGCATATCACATTCCTGTAGACGCCATGGGTTCAATTCCTGAAAAATGCATGATTTAAACTGATTAAAAAGTAAATTAAAAAGTAAATGTGTGTGTGTACATCGCTTTGGAAAATAAAATAAAATATACAGGATCTACTAAGTGACAGACATTTATAATATATGGAGACATCAATCAATACATTTAAAGATAACTTTTCATCTTGCATGTTCAGCAATACATACTGCATCTTCACTCCCATTGGCTGTCGCTGCTGATTTGCATAAGTTGAATACTGCCCAACTTGGCAATGTTTTTTTGCTCATGTGGCATTAAATAGCCACAAAAAAATCTCACTGAAAATATATAAGACTAAACATAAGAAAATATTTTTACTAAACAATGAAAAAAAAAATCTGGAAATATTGACGTTATAAAGTCAAAACCCATAAAAGAATGGAATAAATCCATTTTTCGGTGATATTAATGAGAAGCAAGTGATACAAGAAGATGAGGATGAAGGAAAAGGGAAGGAACATTACAGGGGTTGTTTGGAGAGGTTTTCTGCTTGGTCTGGCTGCGGGACTGGTCGGGGTGGTAGGTGTTATAGTGTTGATAGGGAAGGAAGTTGCTGTTGTTGTTTGTTCCGGATTCCCAGGGCAATGGCCGGTTACTCCTCTGCACCTTGACTGACCACACGGAGAGGAGAGAGAGAGGGAGGACGTGAGCAGGAAGAAACATACTGTACAACACCACATAAATGCCACTGTATAACACATACAAGATAAATCATACAAGGAGAGCAGTAACTTAATTCACATGATGTGTGTACTGCTAGGCATCTTTGGTTTCCTCTTTTTGTTAAATTTAGATGGAAAATGTGTGCCTTTTTATTGTTTGAGCCACTTATCAAAAGTTGCTAAAAGTAGCCAAATAAAATTTTAAAATAGCTAAATTTGTTGCTAGGTGCTTTTGGAAGAAAAAGTTGCTAGGGTAGTCTGAAAAGTTGCTAAATTTAGCAACAAAATTGCTAAGTTGGCAACACTGCTTCAGTTCTGCTGCACACGTGCAAAGCGCGTGCACAACTACACTAAACTTGGTCGCATCATAAATGGTCGGTCACCTCTAAGCGCTAGCTCTCACTAAAAATGAACAACTTCCAGTTGCTTTAATGCTACAAACCATTGTCAGTGTTAACAAACAAGTACAGGTCATCTCTAACAGTCTCACAGTGCCCTTGAAACACACAGAGCGCTAAACAAAAGAGATCAATAAAGCCCTGATGGCCGGAATTTATAATAATGAGTCCATATAATCAAATCAGACTCTGTAAGGCCGCTGAAAGAGGAAAAGCATGACCTAAAACATAAATGAGAAGTGAGTGACAATCTTATCAGCCAATTAGAGAGTGAATCTAGGGCCTCAGGATGTCAATTATCATTGACTACATGTCCCAAAATGTACTTGAGATTTTGAAGTCCACCCATGACCGCACAGGGAGAAACGATCAGGTCACGTTGCGAGAATGTCAATAGTGCAATATTGCTTCCTTAACCAGGATTATGTTCCATATCCCCCAAAGAATGGCACCACAAAGGTGTCCTCTGGATTCACTGTGTATCTTCTGCACAACAAAAACCACTGAATGGCTCAGCGCGTCTGGCTTCGTACAGTGACTCTGAGCTTTTCCGTTCCTCTGGTAGAATAGAGCTCAGCTACACCCACAGATGGAGAATAAAGACCAGATATAATACGGAGGAAGAGAGCAGCAGAGAGAGAAAAACAGTATTTAGCCTTAGCGTAGTTTAGAGACAAGGAAACAGCTGGGGAACAAATTAGTTCTGCTCTGTTTTCCAAAGAGATCAAATAAAACACACTAAAAAAGACAAAAACAAAAACAGACTTATCAAATAAAGCACAAAAGGAGACATTCCAATGAATGCAGTCCTATATTGCATATCACATTCCTGTAGACGCCATGGGTTCAATTCCTGAAAAATGCATGATTTAAACTGATTAAAAAGTAAATTAAAAAGTAAATGTGTGTGTGTACATCGCTTTGGAAAATAAAATAAAATATACAGGATCTACTAAGTGACAGACATTTATAATATATGGAGACATCAATCAATACATTTAAAGATAACTTTTCATCTTGCATGTTCAGCAATACATACTGCATCTTCACTCCCATTGGCTGTCGCTGCTGATTTGCATAAGTTGAATACTGCCCAACTTGGCAATGTTTTTTTGCTCATGTGGCATTAAATAGCCACAAAAAAATCTCACTGAAAATATATAAGACTAAACATAAGAAAATATTTTTACTAAACAATGAAAAAAAAAATCTGGAAATATTGACGTTATAAAGTCAAAACCCATAAAAGAATGGAATAAATCCATTTTTCGGTGATATTAATGAGAAGCAAGTGATACAAGAAGATGAGGATGAAGGAAAAGGGAAGGAACATTACAGGGGTTGTTTGGAGAGGTTTTCTGCTTGGTCTGGCTGCGGGACTGGTCGGGGTGGTAGGTGTTATAGTGTTGATAGGGAAGGAAGTTGCTGTTGTTGTTTGTTCCGGATTCCCAGGGCAATGGCCGGTTACTCCTCTGCACCTTGACTGACCACACGGAGAGGAGAGAGAGAGGGAGGACGTGAGCAGGAAGAAACATACTGTACAACACCACATAAATGCCACTGTATAACACATACAAGATAAATCATACAAGGAGAGCAGTAACTTAATTCACATGATGTGTGTACTGCTAGGCATCTTTGGTTTCCTCTTTTTGTTAAATTTAGATGGAAAATGTGTGCCTTTTTATTGTTTGAGCCACTTATCAAAAGTTGCTAAAAGTAGCCAAATAAAATTTTAAAATAGCTAAATTTGTTGCTAGGTGCTTTTGGAAGAAAAAGTTGCTAGGGTAGTCTGAAAAGTTGCTAAATTTAGCAACAAAATTGCTAAGTTGGCAACACTGCTTCAGTTCTGCTGCACACGTGCAAAGCGCGTGCACACACAGAGAGCGTCTTTCGCATCTCCTCATGTTTGAACAGACACATAACACACAGAATTATGTCAATAGTACCCGTCTCGACGATCATTCTCGTAAACGCAGTCGGTTATGTTTTAAATGAATGTAAACAGCTGAGAAAGAAATCTGATGTGTATCATTATACTGGATCCGTGCAGTCGGATTTAAAGGGACAGCAGCCTATAAATACGTGCTGTCACTAATGTTAACAAAACGGCTATAACAAAGATGAATCTAAATTGAATTCATACTGTTAATTACACTTAATTATTACATTTCTGCTGTTTATTTTATCTATGCTTGTAAATTGTGTATTTCTTTTTTTTCTTTTTCTTTCGTTTTTTTTACTGTCCACTTGCCTTTAATCATGTTTGAACTTTCTCAGACTTTAGTTTTTGCTGTGGTATATGAAGAAGTACTTGAAGTGTGTGGAAAGCAAAGTTACAATGATATAACATTAGTGTCATTCATTTTTTTGTTTGTATGTTCACATTGATGTTAAATTACATTTTCTGATTTGTGACATTACTTTTTAAGTAATGCTAAAACACTGCTGGCCACTTTCAGAAGTTATAGTGATTCTTTATTTTCCAAGAAAGAATGTGAAACAAATTGGTTATATAATTTTAATTTTTAAATATTTTAAAATATCATTTAAATTGATTTTACACACTTTAAGCAATATCGTATCGCATATATCGAATATCGCATTTTTTAAACAAGGTATTGCATATCGCATTTTTCTTCAATATCGCATAGCCCTAGTCAAAATTAATGTAAACCTCACCAAAAATGCACCTGCAAGCTACTACTAGACTTTCTGACTTTCATATCGCACAAGCAGACTGAATATCACAAAGAAACAAAATACAAGCATTCACATAGCAAGGTCTTTGCTCCCCTCAAAGCGTCCTCCTAGTAATACACAACTATGGACACCGGCATTGATCATTTTCTATTTTGGCTCCTTTCTGTTTCACAGTTAATTTTAGCAGTATGTTTGCTGTGCTTTCAAACACACAAGCACACACACTGGAAAGAGAGATTACAAAAGCAGTCTGAGAGAGAAGAGAAAGGCGAACTGGAGGGCAGCGGCTGCAGAAGGGATTAGACAGGAAAGAGTGTCGGTGAGAGCTGAAGGAGGGGTGTGTTTTTGTGTAAGGCAGGAGACTAGAGATCCATCATCACGATAGCATCAAACAGCAGCACAGGGTTAAAAGACAGTGAAGAATCCATTGAGACGTAGGTAATCAGGCCTGAACAGATGAGAACCATTACTTTTACTGTGTGTGTGGGAAATAAAGAGGGAGACTGTTCATGAGTCATAGAGAGAAAAGGGGCAAATGAAAATGATGAGTGTGTTTGCAGGCATTAATGTAGAATCTCTATACCAAGGGTGTCAACAAATGAAAATAATCATGACTTGTTTGGCTTTATGATTTATTGATTCATCATATATATATATACAGTATATAATGGTTACGGCATTTTTAAATGGTTGATTATTATTTTATTTTTTTTAAGTTAAAAGGGTCATATGACGTTGCTAAAAAGAACATTATTTTGTGTATTTGGTGTAATGAAATGTGTTTAAGGTTCAAAAAACATTATTTTCCACATACTGTACACAGCTCACCGTTCTGAAAAGCGAGGTGTGCTCTGATTGGCTAGCTAACCATTACTTTTACAATTATGTGTGTGTGGGAAATAAAGAGGGAGACTGTTCATGAGTCATAGAGAGAAAAGGGGCAAATGAAAATGATGAGTGTGTTTGCAGGCATTAATGTAGAATCTCTATACCAAGGGTGTCAACAAATGAAAATAATCATGACTTGTTTGGCTTTATGATTTATTGATTCATCATATATATATATACAGTATATAATGGTTACGGCATTTTTAAATGGTTGATTATTATTTTATTTTTTTTAAGTTAAAAGGGTCATATGACGTTGCTAAAAAGAACATTATTTTGTGTATTTGGTGTAATGAAATGTGTTTAAGGTTCAAAAAACATTATTTTCCACATACTGTACACAGCTCACCGTTCTGAAAAGCGAGGTGTGCTCTGATTGGCTAGCTATCCAGTGCGTTGTGATTGGCCGAATACCTCAAGTGTGTGACGGATATGTTAAAAACCTTACCATATTATGCCGAGTCCCGGCGCGACGAGACAAAAACATTAAAACTCATTATAAACGAGGCATTTGTTGCATCCAGTGGGGACATAATTACTAATTATAATGACTTAATGACGTTGCATCGCACCATGTAAAAATAAAACCATGTCTGCAATTGTGATCGGAGAAACGACAAACAACAAGCGCTACACTACACTGCTCAAAACTCGCATTTGAATAGTCAGTGGCAAATCTTTTAAATATGAAAACGTACTTACAGGCTGTGAGTCAGCATCATAGACTGTATAGGGTCAGCATGCGCGCCGAAGTGGAAACATGGGAACTGAATTCAGGAAACAGTCCTAGTCCTCCATAAAATGCATTGCACACATCTGAATATTTGGTTTGAACTGTTTTAGAACAGTGTTGTAAATACAACTTAACCACTGATTTCTAGTTGCGTCCTCTTTTAGAAGACCAAAGAAAGTAGTTTCGCTTTCACAACTAAACACACAGCATCTCCACGTCATGGTGGTGGCGGCAACAATACTACAGCGAGAATCAAAGTTACGTCTTCTTTCTTTGCGTGAACATTTGGGCGGTGTTATGCAAATCTTCCCACACAGTGATGTAGACATGTGGGGGGGTGTTTAAACGAGGTGTTTTAGGGGGGCGTGGACGAGTCTTAACTTTTATAAAGAATATCTCTTTGGGTTTGAGACTTTAGTCTTTGCAACTTTAGGGATCTTATCTATTCACGAACAGCTTGTAACACTCCAAAGAGAAAGGAAAACTTGAAATCGCATCATATGACCCCTTTAACACAATATAGGTCTCATTATACTAGAACTGTCAACATATTAAAATATTTACAATTAATCATATAATGTTTTCAATTCATTCTTTTTTATTATAATTTCAGTATGTTCATTTGTATGTTTATTCATTCATTCATTCATTTTTGAAAATTCAGCTTTGCCATCACAAGAATAAATTACCTTTAAATATATGAAAATATATAATAATTAAAACATATTGAAATAGTATTTTAAATTGAAATAATGTTTCACAATATTACTATTTTGTATCAAATAAATGCAGCCTGTTAAGCTTAAGAGACTTTATAAAAACATTTTAAAAAATCTTAATTAGGGTAGTACATTATATAATGTATTGTCATATATATTGCTTAATGTGGTTGATATAAGTATACAACATAAGTAAACAAATGTATATTGTATTTGTGTAGGTTATAGGTACGTATAATACAGCATGTGGTATATGTGTAGTATACACTCTGTAGTGTGCACTTTACACAATGTAATACAAAAAAATGCATGCACATGCTAGCTGAGCAAAAAGACTGTGTTCAGTGTTTGCATCAGAAACAAGCAGGGATTGGCCTGGAGGGATAATATTTATGTTTTCATCAGTAGATTCAGATGTTTTCTGTGACACATTCACTACCGCCCACGGAAGCCCACCAAGCCGATGCTGTGAATGCATGAGTATGCGGTGACAAGGTAGAATGTGTTTATGTGCTGCATACGTGAGTTGTGGTGTCAGCCAGCTGTCTGGTGCTGTGGCGTTTCTGGCATTAGCCAGCTGTCTAGAGTTTCACAGCGGCTGGCATTTAGATCTGTGTTAGTGTAGAATGCTTCACTGCACTAAATCTGCTTGAGCTGAGGAAATAGACTACATGTCTGTGAACTGCATAGTGGACGTGCCACTGCATAGTAATGCCAGAAGCTTGACATGCCAGTAAACGTGTGTGGCTCTTCACAGGAATCAGGAGTGAGCTTCATCCACTCAATGTGTTTGGACGGTGCTCTAAACTCAATTTCCTTCCCTTAAGAGCTAATCAAGACACCTCCCACCAGCTGACCTGAGGGTCACTTCATTGCTTTCTAATGTGGGGCCTCTGAAAACCCCCAACAGTGATCTACAGGATGCATTAGTATGCTGTGCAGGTCCACTTTTATTTATGTTCTCAGGGCTCAGGCTTTATATCCATGTCTATAGCATAAAGGTCATTCAGCCACTGACCTTGTGGACGTTGGAAAACAATTACATTCGTCGATAGTATTTATTTATTTATTTTTTACTCAGTGAAGGGCGTTAGCAGAACATTGACCTCTTTTTTGTGGTTTGAGTCAAGCAGACCAGCAGCAAAGGCAGAGTAATAAGCTAACTAGTGTTATTTGTGGTTTGCCTGTGTGAAAGTCACCACCACAGTGCTAATACATTGTGGGCTGGTTGCTATGCAGATGCTGAAGGCGTTTTTAGCATGTCACTATACAGTTGCTATGGTGTTCTGGTTGGCTGTTTCAGCATTTATGTGCAGTTGCTATGATGTTCTAGATCAGTGGTCGCCAGATAGCCCGCATGGAGTCTCTGAGTCACCCGCCAAGCACGTTCTATAAATAGCCTAAATTAGCGTTGGGCGATAAATGATATCATATCGAGATTATGATCAAATTTATGTTAATAATGATGATAAGCTCTGGACATTTTTACTCAATATGGATTAATCTAACATCCTATCACACAACAGAAATAAATGTTACAGCAACCAGTCTATGCATGTCAGTGCATGTCACTAATAAGTCTGCATGTTCTGTGTGTCTGTGTGAATGCGTTGAGTAGTTTCATCTGATACACAAACTCAAACACACGTGACTCGCTGTGTTTTCAGCGTCTGCATCTCAATATATGATACGTATTCACGACAAACTGTCAAAATAAAAGTCCGGTTTAACTTGAAATTATTTTCAGCGTCTGCATCTCAATATATGAGGGCATGAACACATGCACTTCATCTTCATAGCTGCTCTGAGAGTCACTTCATCAGCTTTATGCAGTTTCATTTGAGAAAAAGTACCGTCAAATACACGCTGCAACTAAAACTGAAAGACCTTCACGACAAACTGTCAAAATAAAAGTCCGGTTTAACTTGAAATTATAACTGAATATATTACTACTGTATACTACAATGCAATTCTCAAAGTAGTAATAATTTTTAAGGAATATCATACAACCAAGTTATTTTTTATTATTATTATTTATTAAAGTTTTATTAATTAATTTCACTAGACACCATTTTTTTGGGATAAATTTGTACTGAATCATAAAACACAGAATCCACAAGAAAACAAACGGGGAAAACAGAATTTAGAGAAAAATAAAACGCATTTCATGGGGCCCTAAATTAAAACGTAGCTCCTCTGTGGAATTTCATTGTGAACAAAGTTATGTTTACCTTCCATTCTCAAGGTCTAATAAACTTGTGGAACGCATTTCCTTCCCCATTAATGGTAAATGAATACCATGATAAATATCAATATTGTATAATAGCCTATTTTTATAAATTTACCTGGAATATTTTCCTGGATTGATTAAAAAAAATGTAAAATGCTTGTGAGAAATCATTCATTTTTATTAATGGCAAGATATCAAGATATTAAATCTTCCGCTTTGCAGAAGCTTTGCCTTTATTTCAACTTAAATCAATATTTTGTGTCGAATTATTTACTTATGTGGCAAGTAAGTGTGTAATAAGCAGGATAATGTTCATCCAGCCGGTTGTTATCACAGAATAAACCCCTTCACTCGTCCGCTTTAAGTTGTGGTCCTGATCACCCTGTTGGTGTTTATTCTGTTATAACAACAGGCTGGATGTACATTTTCCCTTACTTGTAACGTTACTGTGTGGCAGGCTAACTTGCCTGGCTCTGCTCTAGTGTGGCCTTCCACATCTTTGTGCTTTAACTTTATTCCTATCAGGAAGTACAGCAGCGTTTAAGCCTTTGTCTCTGCGTTTGAACGTTAGCTTCCTGCTCCTGATAAGATGTGACAGGGCACACACTGGATGTCATAAGAACATATTCTCTGTGAGAATCATCGTTGCTCTAAACTTTTGACATCAAATCTCTTTATCATAGCATTTGGTGACACACAGCCTAATAAATGCAGGGAATTGCCTCTCCTATATGCTTATAATACACTATCCCAATTGAAATGAATGGATTTGAGGCGTATTTTGACATAAAACTCTAGTCCAGAGTGAGTGTGTGTATGTGTGTGTGTCTCTTACCATGTTCAGGGCCCTTGAGAGCCAGTCTTGTCTGGTGGTGGGGCAGAATCTCCATTTTGACGTGTTCTGAAGCGCTAGCTAGCAGCTGGGTGGCCTCGGCCAGTGTGCAATACTCCATACTTGTGCCGTCCACCGACAGGATGTGATCACCTGCATGCAGCGCACCACACCTGCAAAGCAATGAGATCACATCCTGTTCAGCCAGCCTTAAACATCCACTGAACTGCACTTATCACAGGCATCATTTCAAACAATAATTTCAAACTAATTCTTATCAGTACTACAGTTATTATGATCCAATATCAAGGCTTTCAGTAGTCCAACTTTTCATGATTTTCAACACCAAATTCGATACGACAGCAAAATCTAATATGCTAGTGAACACACAATCATTTAAATTTAAAATATAATAAATATAACATATAATAATATATATATATATATATATAAATTATATTCAATATTCAATTTAAATAATATTTTATTAAATGTAAATTATAATTAATTACTTTAATTATAATTTGATGAATTAGTTTTTATACAATTAATATATTAACAGTGATTTTAAGTCAATCTTGAGTAGAAGTGCACTCTGCAGTAGACATGCACATTATGTTTCCAAATTGGGCACCTAAATTGGCACCCTGTTGATGGAAAAGAGGTTTAAGGTGTATTATAATTCCCTCCCAATGTTTCTCCCAAGAGCAAACTCTTGAATCATCTTCAAAGTGCTAATCTGTTCTGATGGAAAGGTTTTCACTTGCTCAGCACTCCACCACCTTTATTATTGTTCCGGGCCTTTCTGCTGGCATGAAGGCTAGATAAGTTATTGAATTTCTATAATTAGTTGCTAAGCTTTATGCATTTCAAACGTTGACAATTTTACAGGCAGGCATCAGGTTCCTGCAGCGCACATTTCTCTCCTCTCCATGCGTTGATCTGGCTCACAGAACAATGGAAACATGATGAACAATGATGCTTCTTTCATAAGGAACCGAAACGGTTGCCTTCCTATGCATGTGGGAAATGAATGCGGCTGTAATTACCTATCGGCGATGCTGGCTGGTTTGACCTTGTCGATGATGATGACCTGCTTATTGCAGTACATGGAGGTAGAGAGAGCCAGACCTAAACTGGAGCCCATGGACTTGGCCACCTCCACCAGCAGCGGGCCTGAAGCTGTGGCTACAGAATCTGTAAAGTAGGAAAAACACAGTGATTAAATTCAGAAAATGGACATTGCAAGGGATCAAAGTGGCTCATAACCTGTGGCGGAGCTTGCCTTTTTGGTATATTAATGCAAATCGGAAAGCTTGGGTTGGGTGTACAATCCAGAAATTGGATGAAGCCTAAATCAAAAAAGCTGCACAGAGAAAACTGAAACTGTGGTCTGAAAATCATCATGATGTATTTAGGTAAATCCAAAGCCTTGTATACTTAGTTGGCATCCACTAAAGCTCTGCTAATGATTATAATCCTCACTGCATGGACATAATGCAAAGATTATGAGGTATAATATGTATAAGATGAAGACTGTTGTAACACATTTTAACTTATATACATATATATTTTAACAAGAGAATGCATAATTAAACTCAAATCACTGCATTAGGTAATAAAACATCAAACCAATGCAATTTTTTAGACACACTGAATAAATACAGTACATTGTTGCACGAAAAAAACAAAAATAAAAATAAATAAATGCAATAGATATATCGTTCAAACAGTATTTTTGGGCCACATTAGGATAATGAATGAAAATACAGACAATCACTTTATGTGAATAAAGTCAACATTGAGAATAATCTAAAAAATAAAACAAGAATAAAATTGTAACATCACAAGATTAACATAGTAACATTAAGAATAAAGTCCAAATTCATAGAATAAAATTGTTGTATTGTGAGATTAAAGTACTGTTTTTTTTCTCAAAATATTATTATATAGCATTGCAAATAGTGTTTTTTTCACCTAAAATTATTATAGCATTACTTTTCCCAAAATATTATTACACAGCATTATGAGATTAAAGTAGTATTGTTTTCCCTCAAATTACTTTTATATAGCATTATTTGTCTCACAATACTATTATACAGCATTATAAGACTCAATAAGTATTGTGATTTCTTTGAAAATATTTCACAATTTTACTCATAACATTACGACTTTATTCTTGAAAAGCTTTTTTGATGGCAATTTTAGTGGAGCGTGTGAATACACCTGTGGCTTGTCTGTTATGTCACCTGTGTGAACTTGAGAAACTGATTGCCTTCATACAGTACATCCAATAAGAATCACAAACATACATTTGTAAGTGTGGCTTAAGTGCCCAAACACCTGGAAGAAGAAGAAGAAGAAAAAAAAACATTACGGATGACGGTTACACACATGTACACACACCTCATTAATGTGAATGAGGGTGAGCGGCTGCGGTTAGACCTGTTAAAGTCTAATGGAGGTAATTCAACATCTCAGTTTAGTAATGGGCCACACTAAAAGACCTCATTACACCATACGTCTTCAGAGCACAGAGGAAACACCACACGTAAACACGTGTCACACGTCCACTCTTCCAGCCCATTCCCAACGTGCAGATTTCACTTGACACCCATTACAAAGAGAAATAGCTCCTGCTCTTGTGTGTGGAGCGGACAGAAGGAGCAGCCGGTCTTTAGTTAGAGCGGGTGTACAGCTGTCTGCTGTCAGGTGTGTCAACTTCCTCCCTGCGTTCGCGGTAAACACACTTGCTACCATCGCGAAATGCCAACATACTGGGGAAACTCCTGCGCTAGTCTAAAAGATGCTGCTTTGGTGTGTAAAGTGGCTCTATAAAGACTCAAGCATAAAGTGAGATGTTTAAAATGTTAAACTGTGGTGCAGAAGCTTGGGACGGGAACAAGTACCCAAGTATCAAAGAACTGGGCCACCTGTGACTGTTTTAAAGCATTTAACAATGATTTACTACATGGAACTATACTACTTTTGGTGAAACATTACAATCTGATTGGTTATGGAACACAGGGTTTCTGCAGGTTTTATGAAGACTTTTTAAGACCGACCAAGTAAAGAAAATTAAGGAATAAACTGAATGGAACAATACGTCAATATGGTTTCTAAATGTAAATGTCGTTTATTAGCAAAGCTTCAAATTTGAAAACACAACTTCCAACTGATCTCCATTACTTTTTAATTCATTTGACAAAAAAAGCTTACAGCTTGAATGGTTCTGCTCCACACCACTAGATTATAGAAAACTCTTTTATTGTACCTTCTGATCATACTGCAAAAAAAGTGATGTTCTGCATCAGTAATTTTTTTCTTGTTTCTTAGTGCAAATGCCAAAAGATTCTTAAATCAAGATACATTTACTTGTAGCAAGCAAAACAACATACAATAAGAAGTCTTGTTTTATAAGAAAGTAAAAAATAAAGTGAGTTTATGATTAAAACAAGAACAAATATCTGCCAATAGGCTTGTTTTAAGCATAAACTCACTTCGTTGTGTTCAGTTTCTCAGAAAACAAGAGTTCATAATGTTCAATTTGCATCTCAAGTAAGTTTAAGAACATTTAGATATTTGCATTGGAAAACAAAACAAAAATGCTGAAGAAGAGAAATATATATATTTTTTTTCAGTGCATGCAGCATTTAATGACATGACTTTGTCAATTTTTGAGTTTCTGCTTCGATTTAATACCTTTTTTAGGCCTTAATTTGTTGAAAGGCAAATTAAGACCTGCAGAAACCCTGGAACAGCTGAACTGAAAATTGGCTGATAGGTAGATTGTCTGAGTAGACAAAATGACCAACCTGCACATCTCTAGTGGAACTGTGGGATAGCTAAACATGCTAAATGGGATCCAAGTGATCTCTCTGAGCAGCCGTGACAGCTGATTATGATTAAACCCCTTTTTCCAGCCCCTGATTTCCATCTTCACCTTCCTGCCCAGCCTCGCAGACCCACCTGACACCAGCAGAATAGAGAGGAACAGACTATCCATTAATAATACCAGAGGTGGGGAAATAGTTTATTCACATGGGTGCCATCACACTGATGAGGGCTTGATCGGTGAGCTCACGAGGAGCGTTCATGTTGCCATGAAGGGCTGTAGGAGCGTGTGGCGATGGGAGGAAGGGTGGTTGTAAATTATGATGAATGCTTCGTCTCTGGTGATTAGTTTTAATCAAACCTCGTTCTGTATGTGTCCACTGGTGCAGAGCTGAGCGGCCATTTTTAGTTCCTTCTCGATGGGAGATTGTGGAGTTAAGTAAGCGGTGTCAAATAGATGAGATACTGCTCAATATTATGCAAATGAGATATGAAAAAAGCTGGTCAGCAGCCGATCACTGAGAGCCAAAGTCAGTGACGTCTATCATGGACTCATAAATAAAGCTGGCCTCTTTCCGACTATAATTGTGCATATATGAATATTTTATTGAATGTATACTGAAAGCAATCATAGATTATATAAACTCATATTTTACAGAAAAGCAGTGATCACATTTTCCACTCTTCAATGATTTTTGAGATGAAATCTAATCAATGCAATTGCGAACTTCACATGAGGGCGAAAGATTTTTTCTTTGCAGATTTCACAATGGATTCAAGTTGCTCATGTGTATTTGCCACATAGACCAACAGAAAGCTGTTTCTGATAATGCATTACACAATGGTGTATAAGAAATGCTGAAGTTTTTTTTGAACCAGCTGTTTGAAATAAACTGAGCTGATTTTCAGAAATGAGTCAAGATTTTTCAGTCTTTTGCACCAATGAGCATGCACCGTACCGAGCAGGAGAGTTGATAAAACAGAAGGAAAGAGTGTGAGGTGAGGAGAAAGGGTAGAATGAGGGTACAAATTGTTTTAGGTGTGGAGAAAGCACATTATTTCAGACAGAAATCCAGGACAGAATGATCTGAAAGTTATATAGCAAGACTTAAACTGAGAAGGAAATTGCACTGACCAAAAACCGAGTCAAACAGCCATTGTGGGGTGGTTAGCGTTTTATGCTGTTCAAACGGAGGGGCATATCAGTGGAGTGAAGCAGGATGTGCCTTTCCACTGGGCACAGCAAAAAGAGAATCTATCACTTCCGGGTCAGAGCCCAACAAAGACATCGGAAAGATGAGTTACAGCCACGGGCCACTTCAAATATTAGAGAATTTCCTTTTCATTTCAGTTCAGCTCACTCGCTGTCACTGTCTTTCTTGTTTTTGGCACCTCATTCAGCTCTTTGGCACTCTTTCATCATCCACAGCATATTTTCTCTGACATTTACAAATACTACAAAAACATATCGACATTCGAGAGCTGGATAACATAAAAAAATGGCTAAAATTGTACATTCTGTAATTGCTGTTTTAAATCTATATGCGTTTACAAATACTATAATGATCTTCCAGCTGGAACGATTAGGCCTCGACAGAACACAACAGAACAACTAGTCTTCAATAAACCACAAAGGGCACCTTCTTGACAAAGTTACAGCCATTAAGGAAAAAGTACTTGAAGGAAACAAAACAGTAACATTATAATCGTACCTAAAATGAAATGCAATTAAAGTTTGCAAAAAAATACAGATAAAACTGAAACTACAAAGTGCACTACAATATAAACAAAAGCTAAATATAATTAAAAAGAACAAAAAATAAATTTTGAGAACATTTTTATTTAGTTTTTAATTAATTGTATGATACTTTTTCCTAATCTCTCTTCTGCTATTTCACTTGTCTAGCAATTTAAATCTATTAATACTGAAATATTACATAAAAAAATTTGAATCTAAAACAATTTATTATTATAAAATTCAGTCATAATATTAAATGTTATTAACTATGTACATAATATTGATAGGTCCTTTATGATAAATCCCATGTGTATTTTCCTCATGTAATTAATAAGAAAAAAAACTGAATTGTCTGGGGGCGGGAATAGTGAAAGAGGGTGTGTCCTTACCCATGACTGACACATCATACTCTATGAGAAGAGTGGCTTCCTGGCCACATTGTTTGAGGATGCTCATAGCCTCTGCGTGAGACGCTCCATGCAGACGAATTCCGTCAATACTGAGCAGCCTGTCGCCGGGTTTGATGGTACCTTCCCTGAGAGAGAAAACAAAACAATGAAGACTGAAATTGCTGAAATCTGAATTACAGAAGAAATGTGCGGAACACAAGAGAGGCACCCAGAGACACAATAGCATTTGTACTGTATGTCCTCTGCTTGTTTGCTCGTAACAATAAGCCGGAAAGGTTACAGGCTTTATAATTCCACACATTCCATCTGTTATCATGGCAGGCAGGTTACGTCTGTGTTCAACACACCAGAGACCTTTCCTATTCCACAGTAACTCCTAAACTATTAGAGCCAGGAACCGTACTGAAGCTCAAAAGATATAAAAATAAACTAATGTACCTTCTGAAGTACTCAAGAACATTGTGGCCAGAGTAGTGGTATCAAATCTTTCACCAGTTTTATTTAAAATAGCTTACAAGCAAGAAAATTAGATATTCATGAGCAGTACGTTAATGGTTTAAAGTTTGGGGTCAGTAAGATAATATGATAATATAAATACTATTTATACAAAAATGTAAAACTTTTATTCTGCAGGGTTGCATTAAAGTGATCAAAAGTGACAGTAAAACCATTACAAAAGATTAAGAAATAAATGCTGTTCTTTTGAACTTTAACATTCAAAGCATCACAGTTTCCACCAAAATACTAAAAAGCATAACTATTTACAACATTCATTATAAGAAATGTTTCCTGAGCACAAAATCAGCATATTATTAGAATGATTTCTGAAGGATCGTGTGACAATGATGACTGGCGTAACGGCTGCTGAAAATACAGCTTTGCTATCACAGAAATAAATAAAATTTATTACAGTATTTTTACTGTACTTTTGATAAACGCAGCTTTAGTGAACATACGAGACTTTTTAAATACTAAAAATCGTACCTAACCTAAATGTTTGAATTGTTGTACATGAATGTTGTGCAAGTCTGTGAAATAATCTGTAGTAGTCTTATTAATTTTGGAAAGATATACATTTTGCAATCCTTTTTTCCTTTCAAATGTGAGTGGAGACTGTAATTACTGTGGTATAATGAATTTGCAATAAACAGAATAGCATGTAAACACAAAGGTAAACTGTGATTAGTCACTTTGTGAATCTTTCTATTTAAGTCTGGCTATGTCAGACTATTGAGCTTTATGTGAGGACAGTTTAAAAAAACATTTTAACCCCGAAATAACAGGGAGCACCACAAAAGACGAGTTTTGGTTAAGAGGCCTGATTTATGACTCAAACGAAATTAAATTTGCTGTTTTTATTTTCCAAGGGGGCCATTCACTGTGACTGCAAGATGTCAGAGGCCAGTCAATATTAAATTGCAGAGGAACAGAACACAATATTTACCCAGAAAAACAGGAGCCATGCCACTGAACAAAAGAAATGGGAATACTCTCTCGGTAAGAAATGAAATTACCAATGTGCCAAAATGAATATTGATAAGAGTTGAGGGGAAAGGGAGAGACGGGCTGGCGTGTAATGATGGTAATAACAGAGCAGTTCAAACGCCAGAGCGAGTGAGATACCACGCCGGTCTATTTGCAATTCTCAAGCGAGTGCTGAAGTTGCGGGGTAATCTATTCCAGTTCCGAAAGGAACTCCAACTGGGAAACACTATTTTTATCAAGCAATTTCTTGCCATTTCACAAAAATGACTACAGTTCAACTATGCCGGACTGGTAAAGATAAAAATCCAACCTATTACAATGTACCACAGAGAGAAAAACAGATGTATATGGGTTAAAAATAACTATTTAAACATTTAATGTGACATGCAAAAATAACATCAGTAATTAAAAAACACTGAAAAATAAAATAATAAAAAATGTCTACTACATACTCATTTATCTGTAATCAACAGCATCATAAATGCTACTAATAACTAATTAAAAATTTTTTTTATTTAACCTAGTAAACTGCCTACAGATAAATCACAGTTACATTCGTAACTGATCCATAATGTAAGAAAATGAATTATTCTAACCCTTCAGATACCTTTTTGGCCAAATTATAAAGCTGTATCCTTAGGACAGAAAATCCTGTAATCCTGGGAGAAGATAAAGGCTGAATAAAGATTACGGACATACTTACATATTTATAGTTCACCCTGAAAAACATAATAAACCACACTAAGAATGGTCTATTTGGTGGATTCAGACCACCTTTCAGCTGGTTAAGCTGGCCCGCCCAACTAGGCTACATCAGCTTGGAGAACAGTTTACACCAGATAAATCCAGCTTAAACTAGCTCATAAAAAAAAAATTCTTTAACCTAGTAAATTCATTCGTAACTGATCCATAATGTAAGAAAATGAATTATTCTAACCCTTCAGATACCTTTTTGGCCAAATTATAAAGCTGTATCCTTAGGAAAGAAAATCCTGTAATCCTAGGAGAAGATAAAGGCTGAATAAAGATTACGGATATACTTACATATTTATAGTTCACCCTGAAAAACATAATAAACCACACTAAGAATGGTCTATTTGGTGGATTCAGACCACCTTTCAGCTGGTTAAGCTGGCCCGCCCAACTAGGCTATATCAGCTTGGAGAACAGTTTACACCAGATAAATCCAGCTTAAACTAGCTCAAACCATCAGAGACTAGCAAAACAGCTTAGGCATTAAAGAAGGTTTTAAAGTTTAAAGAAGGACAGTGTCATTAAAATTTGATCATTTAATTTAATTAATGTGTGTATTCTGACATTAGCTTAGCAAAATGCTAACACCAAACTCCATTGAAATCAATTGTGAGTCGAGTCTGTGCTATTTGTATGATGCACAAAAAGTGACTTGACTAAGTAGAGTGTCTCTAATCAGTCACTTCTCAGTCCATTTAATTTAGGATGCCGTTTATGTTTTGGAAAAGAGCTTTAATGTCAGTGTTGATGAATCCAGTTCAGATCAAGACCAACTCACCTGTCAGCGGGACCACCGGGTCTGATGGTTGTTATGGTAACCGGGCGAGATTTGTTTCTGTCTTCATGGGCGCCTCCTACACCGTGGAAAAAAACACCTTGTTTTGACACATTTAACAAATGTAGCCATATAGCGAAACCTTGCATTTACACTCCAGGATATTTTCTCAACATTACATACGTTTAACCTACTGTACACTTAGCAAATGAGGTAAATCATAACTCTAAATACTATCTTAGTGGCACATACTAGGGGCCATTTGCTCACCTCACTGAAATTTCCATATCATTCTCAACAAAAGCACCAGTTTATAAATTTTTAAAGCTGCTGTGCGCTATAAAATTGCATGCCATTGAATTCACAAATGGAGTCTCAAAGAAGAAAAGAAAGTCCTCAAAATGCCTCTTTGAGACAGATTTGAGGAAAGGAGCAAAGCTAACCAAGACCTTGACAGAAAATCTTTTTCTCTCTCTCTTCAAAAGACTTCCTACTCTAGATAGATCTGAAAAATTGTCTCTTTCTTTTAATGAAGTCTAAAATGGTGCTTGGTAAATATTTGGAAATTGGGTGTTAGTCGCACGACTGAAAGCCGTTTCGTCTCTTTTCATCGGGCCCAAGGGCAGTGAAAAATCTTCAGAGAAAAATGGTATTTTTTTGTTTGATGTAGATGTGAATGAAAGTGTGTTGATGAGGTGAGCTCAAAGACATCTGAACTGGGATGTGAGGAAGTCTACAGAGGCACTCACCTCTGATGACGAAACCAAATGTATTGCCTTCTTTGTGCAGCGTCACCTCCACGTTTTTGAACATGACCCCTGAGCCCTGTACAGCTGAAGAAGGAAACAAGCAGTTCAAAGTTCTGCCAAGATTTCAATGCATGACCAGAACACATAAATGAACAAACTAAATTGCCGTTTATGTCATTGAGAATGAGGAAACTCAGCGCAAGATTGCCTCATTTTATCGCTATTTTGTATTTTCAGATTAGGATTATGTTATATCATTGAAACTTGTTTGTTTCAAATAAATTTATAAGAATTTTATCAAATTGAAAAAAAATATATTCATACAGTTCATATACATGCTATTATTAAATTGTACTTCACATATAATATAAAATATATACATTATGTGTGTGTGTAAATACATTTACATAAAAAAGTAAATAAATGTATAAATTACATATATACACATACATAAACACACACATATACACAAGTAATTTATATTTATAAATGCTTTAATATTGTTTGTTTCAAATAAGTTTAGAATTTTGGAATTTGATAAAATTCTCTTATCAAATTGTACAAATTGTTTATACACATACAGTTCATGCACATTATATTATTCAATTGTATTTTATGCATATATACAATTTAATATGTGTGTGTGTATTTGTGTATTTATGTAAAACACACACAAATACAGTACATATGCACAATTATTTATATAAAAATATAAATGTGTAATTTATACATATGCACACATTTAATATATGTATATATATATATATATATATATGTAATATTATACGTGAAATACAATTAGAAATTATTAAATACATTATATTATATTATATTAAGCATTAAAGGGGTCCTATTATGCTTTTTCACTTTTTAAATTTTAGTCAGTGTTTAGGGCATTAAAAAGATCTAGAAAGTTACAAATCTCAAAGTCCACTCCAAAGGGAGATATTTCGTTTTTAAAAAATCCCTTTTCAAGAACTACAACGAACGGCTCGTTTGGACTACAGCGTTTGTTTTCCGGGCTTTGTGATATCACAAAGCGGCTCATTAGAATAGCATTACAAATAACTCCGGCCTACAGAAATTCGAAAGCTTGGTTGAGTGAGTGCATCAGACGAGACGATGAAGAAGAAGTGCTGCTGCAGAGTTAGTGCATCAGAGAAAACAAAGAAGAAGAGCTGCTGTGCTGTAGCGTAAAATTTTTGGCATGTCTAGAACAGCGGTTCTCAATTCCAGTCCTCGCGTACCCCCGCTCTGCACATTTTGTGTGTTTCTCTTATTGCTTCATACGTTTGTTATATTTGACTGTAAGTGCCCTGCGAAGTGGACATTACCGGATATTCCTCCATGATTCCAGTTTGAAGGGAGCGTATATGTTCCATACAAAGGGCATTTAAGTGTGCGAGACGTGAATTTAAATTGTATTTATATACATAGGTATATTATGTCCCACTTCACGTTTGTGTGTGAAGATGCTGCAGGCAGCGGCGCAGCGCAAATCTGTAAATGAATATTCCGAAGTGAAGTAAACTTCAACGGATTTCCCCTGCTCAGGGAGTAGGGAGCAATGGACACTGTGTAGGGACCATGCCAATCGGAACACAGTTCATGCACGGAGCTCACTTTTAATTCGATGATCTGAATCAGGTGTGTTAACAAAGAGAGCCGTGCAAAAGATGCAGAGCGGGGGTACGCGAGGACTGGAATTGAGAACCGCTGCTCTAGAACAATTCTTACAAATATAATACGACGTAGCTGGGTGCTGCGGACAGATGCCGAACGCCTCCGCCGGTGTGCCTACACTCATAGAAAATAAAGTATTTGAATTTTAAAGACGTGTCGCGCGATGCTGCACTTCTCGTCCAGTGTGCGATCTCCCATCTGAAATATATATTCTGAATATGAAATGATCCCATGTGTAGAAAATCCGTTTCCTGGGACAACATTCAGTTTTGTTTAGTTGTGTTTAACATACAGTTTAGTGTTTATTATACAACAATATTTACCCGCAGAATGCTGCGACTGACCAATAAGAATCAAGTATTCCAGCTGTGTTATAATACAGTTGATTTTCTAATCTCACTCACAGACAGGCGGTAGCTCGTACTCGACCTCCAGGACGACCCGCTCCCCCACATTCTTCAGCAGACTGATGATCTCATCATGACGAAACTTTGTCAAGTTGATTCCATTCACAGACTTTATGTAGTCCCCTACGTTCAACTGGTCACTCCTGCAAAGAAACAGATCAAGAAATAGATTCTATACATTTGCTGGAGAAAGTGTGAGAGGAGGAAATTGCTTAACTGAAAGGAGGAAGAAAGAACACAGTAAATAGGCAGGAGAGAAAAGAGCGAACAAAGAAAGAGAAGAAATAAAGACAGGCAGAAAATAAGGCGGAGATGGAGTCAGGTCGAGCTCAGAGGCACTTTGATAGCTGATCTGAGCTCATGAAGGGAACACTTTGTTCAAAGGAAGCATCTAGTGAGATCAAGACAGGCTGCTCCAGTCTCCATCTCGCGCTCTCTCTGACACACATACACTCAGATGAAAGCTCTCGCGTTTTACAAGACGGCCTGATTGTCAACAGATTCTGGAAGAACGAGTGTGATGTTAGGCAGTTTATATCAGCTCGAGTAAAATTATAAGGGCAACTGTCTCTGTGGTAATAAGATATAAGAGTTGATACACAGTGAAACGTTTAAATCCGAACAATTGATTTGAGGAAGAAAAGTATCTGTGACTGTGAAGAAGGTATAAAACGTGTGCGCATTTTACTATACGACATGTGCAGTGTTTCAGTGTTTTGGGATATCAATATGGATCCTTTTTCTGAGGATTGTGGGTGTGTGTGTGTATTTAGGGGAGGGCTGATACACTAGCGAACAGTAGGTCGTCTGCCATCCCTGTTGAAAAAAACAGCATATGCTGGTTAGGTATGTTTTGACGCTGGGATGCTGGTTTGACAGCCAGTAGGGAAATGGGAGAAGAGTTCTGGCTAATGCAGTATTGATTAAAATATTCTGTCTACCTTATTCACTCACACACACACACACACACACACACACACACACACACACACACACACACACACACACACACACACACACACACACATACATACAGAGAACATACTTCCTAGACAATGCTCCAGCACGACAGACTATGCAAACATTGATCTCTCCGGGCCAGTCTATTGATGCTGTCTTAGCAAAAATCATTAGCATAACCACAAAAAGATAACAACCTGACAACATAAAACCTTGAAGGTGAATTTCTGCAACACTAGCAACTACAAAACTGAACTGAAAATTGTTTTTATATTTTCTAAAGAATATGTGATTGGTGCTTGCTAGCTGTACAAAACTAGCCACAACAATGCTAATGTGAAGCTAATATTAGTGATTGCTACAGTATGCAGTTAGGGCATTTTAAATGTATTTACCCTGTGCTATGTGGTTGTTAGGGTAGTTGCTACTAGGTGCCTTACTTAAGTCTACCCCAAATTTATGATATTATGTTCGCTAGATAATGACTTAAGTACCTCTTTCAGTGCAAGTCTAAGGAATATTTCTTCCGTGAAAAGGCCAAACAAAGATTTCAGATGTCACTCATGCCCGAAGTGGGAAGAGTTATGTGCTAAATAATTTGAGTTGGGTTCAAGTTATTACTCTAAGAACAACAGCCTTAGCAAACAACACTAAATACTGTTTCTAAATATGTTTCCCAAGTTTCGAATCAGAGATGTCAGACATCTTAAAAAAACAGCAATGTTTTCAAAGTGCCGCAGTGTTTTGCAAATTCAACCTTGCTAATACTGACCTGGCAGCGATGCCGCCCTGGCGCAGGTTGGAGACGCGGGGCTTGCCGTCTTTGTCGATGCCTCCGGATACTGTCAGGCCCAGAGTGGTGCCTTCCTTCTTGATCAGCTCCACAGTGCTGGTGCCCTTAAACTCATCTGCAATGCAGAAGGAGGGATGAGGAAGAGGGTCATTGGGGGAGATGGGAGAGGAAGAGCAGAGACAGGAGATGAGAGGGTTACAGGAGCAGAGGAGGCCAGCTGCTGCCATACCCCACTCTCCTCTAAATGACTGTGATCAGGCGTCCAAGCCTGGCCCTCTCTTACACACTCTTTATCTCTCTCCCTCTCTCTCTCTCTCTCTGTCGTTCTACCCTAGCTGGTAATTAGTTATACACTCTAGAGTGCTCAGAGTGTGAGAGTGTGTGTGTGTGTCCGCACTTAGCAATAGGTCGAGGACATGGTCATCCCCAGAGGTATGCGAAAACTGACAAAACCTTCTTTGACAACACCTGGAAACATCCTCAATTGGAAAAATTTAAATTCAGTAATTAAAAATAAATAAATTAAAAACAATAATTAAAATAATGAATACATAAATTAATAAAAACAATAAATGAAAATTAATAGATGAATAAAAAGGCATGAATAAATGAATATTATAAATATAATAATACATTAACCTATATATATATACACACATCTACATAAAATGTAATTATGAAATAATTATAAAATAAAATGATATATGTATATATATATATATATATATATATATACAAACCAAAATGTATTCAGACACCTTCAATATTTCACGTTTAGACAATGCTAATAAAATATGACAAGAACTCTTTGACAAATTCATCTTAATAATGTCAGATAATACTTAAGCAAATGATGGTCAGGTCAAAGTGTCTTAATAATTTTTTGTTTTTTATTTATTTATGGTTATTTTACTAGTAGTCCACTGTATGAAGAATTCTTGCTTATAATATGTCACAGTTTACTTTATTTTGCTATCCTCACATAAATGAACTATAGTGATATATTTTAAAGGGGTCATTTGATGCAATGTAACGAATCAGCTCATGGGAAATATTAATAATTAATCATAACTAGTTATAATTAATTATGAATATTTTAGATCCGCTGTAGATATTTAGCTGACCTCTCAGGGTCAACTGTCTTGTCAATTCTAAGAACGTTAATTTCCTGGTTAAGGGAAATAACTTCCTTACTGTACAATTCTACAAAAGCTTGTAGCATAAATCTGCATGATTAAGTGACTCCAGTTATG